GTCGAAAAGGACGAGCTTGAGCCAGCTGGGCAACCTGGATGCCGGCACGAGGGAGGCCGAGATTGCCAGCAGTAACACAGCAAACGGCAGGAAAGCTCCGAGCACATCTGCCAAATTCGAATCTTGCTGATGCAGCGCAATGAACCCTTGACCCTGCATCTTCATCGACATCGTTGAGATTGCTGGCAAAGTCGAAGTGTATGTGGATGCAATGGAGGAGCCATCGAGAAGGGTCTAGATGGTGCGTGTCGGGTGGCGAGGTGGCGGAATGGGGTGTGCGCAGAGATGGCAGCGCTGTCGCAGTGCGAGGCTGGATAATCCAACGGTCTCGAATGCGAAAGAGGGACGACAATGAATGACAGGAGCTTCCCGCACAGCAAGTAAGAATGCTAAGACCGCCGCATAGGCTGCTTCCGTCAAGTCCGGCGATTGACGCAACACCGGGGTCGTATGAGCAATTGCTCACTTACGCAGCAGAAGGAGTAATGGTGGCCACAAGCAGAATTAGGCCGGCCGGGCATCGCAGGATCCAAGCAGTGGACACGGTTCGGAGCAGAGGCGATCACGATAAGTTGGTCACATGTTGGACCAGAGGCAATGATGTTAATTGGAGCTGAGCTGCTGCTGGACATGATGACAACGCGCGCTCATAGCTGATGCAGGGACCCTTTGGGGTGCATCGGCAGCTTACCCAGCTACCCAGCTACCCAGCTCCACAGCTTTGACAGCCGGGACCTGCGTGCATTTTTGTTATCAAAGCAAACGGCACACAGCATCGATCGCGCATGAACTCAAAAGTCACGAGTCAAGCCACGGCGGCTAGCGCACATGCACCTCAATTAATCGCGTGTGCTATCCTGGTCACGTGCAAGAAGAAGCGCTGCGCTGAAGCCAGACATCTCGATGAAGAGCATCAGCATGCAAAAGTCGCGACTCCATCATCAGCGATTCACGACTATCGCTCCTCATCCTAGACATCCACATACCCACTGCGGGTCCATGTATCGACCGCACACCTCAAGTCAGACCTTGGTCGACCTCTTTGCCATTCACGAGCATTCGTCAAGCGCAATTCGACAAAGCATTCCGGTCCTCTTACGATCAAGCGGTTCAACATGGCCACACAGACGACCCTGACCCTTCACCCGCTCTCATCCT